TATAGCCGCATCGAATGCGAGGCAGTTGCCCACGGAAGACAATGGATAAGGTTGCACAACATCGCAGAATGATTGAAGTTAGACATGAACCTTGTTGAATACCTGCTCATTAATGTCGAAGTTAAGCGTTTACGCGAGAAATCGAAGATGCTGGGTTTGATTCCCGAGTACAGGGGTCAGGGATGAGCATTGCCGATGAGTGACACACTAGAACAAAACAACCGTCCAGTGATTCTGTATTTCTAATGTTGATCCTATATTCATCGATTCATAACATCAAAAAAAAATCTTAAGCACATTCAATCAGTGCATAGATAGTTATAACTTTCAATCACTGTCTATTCAAATTCCAATATCATTGAAATTCTAACTTTACTTTCGAAAACTAAGTTGTACTGTTAGACATAAAATAAAACCAGTGATATATTAAAGCTGACTAGGCAGTAAAACCATGGATACATTACTTTGTCATAAGTTATTTATGGATTTCATTGCTTGATATTTGCACATTAGAAATGTAATATTGTAATGCGAAAAAAATTATCATTCTTAGTTCAAAAATATACCAAAGATATTTTTTTATAGAAAAGTGAATGAATTATTCCCTATGAATAACTGACTGGAAATTTTAAACAGTGTATGATGTGACAACTATTATGATGTGTATGGTGTTACAGATATAAAACGCGATACACGTCAACAGCTCAAACGAACCATTTTAGTGAGAAGTAAGGAGTGAAATAGAAAGTCTATTTGAATGACGAATATATATATATATATGTATATATATATATATATATTTCCACCTTAGAAAACGATATCATTTCTTGACCATTGAAACGCAACGTCCTTTAGGACATGACTCATAGTCATCAAATGATTTTCCCACTTGCTCACTTCTGATTGGCTAATTATATCAATTAGACTCAGTTCAAGGTCAAGGATGAGTATTTCTGAGAGTCCAATGAAACTCAAAAATTTCCGCAACTTGACATATATCATCAGTTTTTGTGTTCACACTATCTGATCATGTGACACAGCCAGATATTTGACAAACAATCAATAAATACATAACGACAAAACCATAAAAAAATAGAGATACACAAAATATAGTGTGATATGAGTTACTGAATCTGTCTGTCTGCACTCACTGATCGATCATGGTTTATTTTTACCGTACTTATGTATGATGAGTCATAATGAAATGTTATGTAATGAAAATTTCATAAAAACGTCTTGATCGGTGGCTGATTTTAGTTAGATAAGCATTAGAAACTAAAAAAACATTAGTTCTAAGAATATTTTAAACAAATAAAAAATATGGATGGGTTAAGTATTTTAACCTTAAATAAGGATTATTTTGAAGGGGATTAAACAAACATATCCTACATAATGTGGCCTCAGTTTGTGTATTTATGGGGCCAACCATGGATGAATATACAAGTATGTACCATTTAGATCAATTTGAATTTCTGTTTAAAGATTAGAAGACACTAAGTGAATAGAAGGACATCAGGAAATAATACATAATGTTGACTGAACTGGGAATACCTCTGAATTTGTTTGAATAATGAGATATCCACAATCAATGTAGTTAAACTATGGGATATCGATAAATATTATTTAAGTACTGCTTCTGCATTGTTCTGTTAACGATAATAAAATATCGAGAGAGAAAAATTCCTTAAAAAATCACCTGAAAAAAGTGTTAAGTAAAATCTCATCGATCAAATGGCTTTTTGAGGGTCCATTCAGTCTGTATGGCATGATATCATCTGTACTATGTTGAAATGTTAGGTTACCGAAAATGTTAAAGAACAAAAAATATTTAACACTAGTGACTACTATTTGACAGTTTCATTAATGGCTATAATGTTTCAGTAGTAACACTTTGGACTGTAAAGGCGGGGGTTATGACGCAAGTTTGAATGCACATGATAGAATCAGCCTACCAAAAATAATAGGTACTGATTGATGATGAATCTTGACTAGATCTAAGATATCCTATTGACTACCTTCAACCGCTTACCTTACCTAGCTTAACCTGTAGTGAACAGGACTGTTCCTGTTGCAAAACGTCAATCCATTGTCACTATTCATGCATTTTATACAAATTCCATTGTTTTCTAACTCTTCCTTTCTTGATCTTCCCCCATCTTCGGCTGCCAGACATTACGTTGACACTCACGTCATATACTACTTATAAGTAGCTCGCACCACAAACCTACCTGTAATCTTCACATTTCTAATTTGATACTACTATATAATGTGAATATTCATAACCACGAATAACCAGATCGGAATTTCACTTGATTCTTCGAGTTTTTTTTTCATTGAATTTGCTTACAAGAAATCCACCGAAAGCCTTTATTGAGTTACCACCGATTCTGAACTTCGTTAGAAGGGAAAGGTTGGGTATAGGACAAGGAAACATTGTTTCAATGATATATTCATGTATATACACATGGTTATACTAACTGGTCATTAAACACATTGTTTATAATGTGTTGTTCACTTTCCAAAAGTGTGTCACATTAATTCCAAAGTCTCTATATAATACAGCTTGTGTACAATAATTACTGAAAGTTATCACTAATTAGCACTCAACACACTTGAAATGCACTTTTTCTCTCAAACAAAGTTACGTAAATCATGGATGGTAAGTTTAATTTCACACTTATGTTAATTGAAAAAAAAAAAGAATAATTTCTTTAATCTATGAACAGTAAATTTAATAATAATAGTAATAACTACTTTAATTTAAACCATAAATTTTATCAAACTCACTAATTCTTAACACTAACTGTTTAAGATTTCAACATCGTTCTCCACAAAATATAAAACTTCGAATTATTGTAATTTTGTGGTGCGCGCTACTTATAAGTAGTATATGACGCTAGTAAAAAACGTAATGTCTGGCAGCAGAAGATGGAGGAAGATCAAGAAAGGAAGAGCGGGAACACAATGGAATTTGTATGAAACGCATGGACAGTGAAATGTCAGACAATGGATTGATGTTTGCAACAGGAACAGTCCAGTTCGATATGATGGATTGATATTTTGCAAATGAACGATTTACGATATGGCTTTTCTGTTTTACGAATTAACTCTGTAATTCGGGATATTAAGTGAAGTGAAGTATTAAGTGAATTGCATTATGTTTGGATTCTGATGTAAGAATATCAACAGTAAGATTGAATTACATCCGCTCAACAAGTCTCAACATTATTGACCATATCAAACTGATCTACGATTGATACAAAGTTCTAAATGTAGATTGACGACGGATAATAATGACTCATTCGTTTGAAAGCTGTCTAGGTTGATCGTCATAGCACATAAATCGTTTTAGTTAAATTCAATGAGGTCTTGTGAAAATACAGTGATAAGTAGTCGCGCACACACACACATTCAAACAATACAATTGCTCATTCGTAGCATTAATCATGTCCGTGTATATTTTGTAAAGGATAATCTAAATGCATATAAGTTAACAAACAGAATTGGTCTAACATTCATTGATTGATCATTTCAAATGTGTAAAAACACTAATCTACATAACTGTAATTAAAAATATCGTAATATGTTCTCATCAGTGACCAGCTTCGTTGGGAAATTTTCGGAGTTCTAGTGAGAAGATATGACCAGTGGAGTTCAACCCTGTCGGGTGTAGGCAGTAACTACCAAAGGCGAATGGGTGAGGTCACGCAAAATCCCTTGATCAATCAGAGTTAGAGACTAACACCGTCGGATGCCTGCCCAGTGGTCTAATGGGCGAGGTGCAGGAGTCGTGGGTGCGCATTACTGATGAGCCTCATACCGCAACAAAACGGTTGTCCAGTGCTTCCAGGTTTCTAATGTTAATCTAACGATGATTGATTGATGATTTCAACTGTGTTGAAAACACTAATCTCCATAACTCTTATTGAAAAGAGAATTGTGTACCAATTATGAAGGAATATGCATACACATATTTAGACATAGAATGAGTAGTTTTTTCAATGTGAATAAATAACATCATCACTCAGGAAAAAAAGACAAATCAATTCATTCTTATGAATCTCGACTTTTTGATTCATTGATACAGAATCGGTAATGTTGATAATAATCATTTCACGTATGTATTTCAATAAATAATAGCTTAACATTACATTGTGACAATTGTCCAATTTTTACAGTTGAATTACACACATACACACCTGCTAACAGATAGCTAGTTGTCTTTCTACTTACATAGATTGATAGATAAATAGATGGACAGATTATATTATAAGTAGATAGACAGATAGATAGATAGATAAATTATTAATTTTTAAATGAATTCTCAAAAGCAATAAAAATTCATACGATAGCTGTCCATTCACTAGTTATTTCATATTTATGAGTGAGTGAGTCATCAATAACTGCCTACTCTAATTCGATTTGAAAAAAAAAACTGATTAACATCCTAAACAAAATGTAAAAAAAATATGGTTTAGTAATTGTGTGAAAACATGTATGTAATTAATGATAAACAAGTACATTTACATACACATACACATACACATACACACACACACACTTAGTATCAGTGATACAATGGTGTAAATGGTGAAAACAAAAAAGATCGCTTAATTAAATCATCGTACATTCATATGTTAATATACAGCAGAAATAATCATAATCAAATAACGTTAACTAGAAATTTAATTGGTCAGTTATATTAGCCAATCAAATTGCAATATAACTTGATTGCATCAAACACATGGCTTTAGGCATATTATTTGAAATAACTTGCATTTATTTTATTCATTCAAGGATTTTTATATAGTGTGAAGATTTATCTCTGCAAAAAAATATTTTTTAACACGATTTCAACCTAACTTCCCTTTATTTATTTATTTTTTTAATTTTTTTCTCTCCTTCTCTCTCTCTCTCAATTATTCACTGGGGCTTCTCAACTTCTTCTACATTGATTTTCATCAAATGCAATCAACTTCCGTTTTGGATTGAATTGCACGCGTGATCTCATCGGAAATTATTTGTTTCATTGTGAACTGAAATTAAAAATATCTTGTTTTTATATATATATATATATAAATCTATTCATTTCTAAAGCATGAATTATTATGGCTTTTGCATGTGGCCTACACTTATCAATGTTATTGTTAATATATCTGCAATAGTGTTGTAGTAGTATTATGATTCATTATTGGTTAATCATATGTCAGCATTATTATTATTATTAAATCAATTCAAAAAATATGCAGCCATTGTTTGAAAAACCGCCAAAAAGTTCAATATGTTTCAATGCCATTAAAATTCTAGGCATTAATTATCCAATCATATTATCATCATTTATATTATTACTATCATGGATAAATGTTGGTGAAAGTAGAAGAGGAGGTGAGTAAAATGATATTTGAATATTGACCTATTTGTTTATTTAAAGTGTTTGTAATGTTCATTTTCTTAAATTTCTGTATATATAATTTTGCTTATCTTTTTGCTTTGATTGAATTTCCTAAATTTTGCATGTTTACAAGGTCAAATGCTATATACTGGAAAAGATTTTACATAACTCTGTTGTTGTTAATAATTCTGACTAAACATAGTTCGTTAAATGTATTTTGTTATCGAAATATAGTTATTTTTTCCTAGCTTTATAAAATGGATGGCATTTTAGCTAGTTGTAGAATTCTGTAAGCACGTTTTGTCCTATTTTTGGAACCTCTAACAGCTGAATGTACGTGAATAAGTGAAAAGGTAGTTGGACTCAGTACACCAGCGAATAATGCGTTGACATTTGAACCAATAGGTAATCAGTTAGAGTCCCGGTATGAATTTCAACACTAGAATTGCTGATGCATTCAACTGAACAGTCCTAAATGGCATGGAATGTGCTCATTGGATTCCACTACTAGCCACATATTTGTTTATGCTGTTAAGTTGAAATCTTGCTCATTTAATATTGACTTGTAAAATCAATTTACTCTCTACTTAAGTGTGATCATTCCTTAAGTTATTGTTAACAATTTATTTATTGTCATGTATATCATGTTTGTCAAGTTTATCTTTAATGTTGACTAAATCCTTCCTATTTGTCAAACTGTAATGTGTCCATTAGTCTAAGCGACATAACATAATATACATTAAGTTAGCTGATGATAGTAATCTGCAGTAGTCGACAGGTAACGCTAATCAGTGCCAAAATAGCATAAAACCTAGATCCAGGGTTTTATATCAGCTAACTTCAATAAATTGTAACTTGAAATCCATTACATTAACTAATACATAAGTTATACGTGCGCTTTTTAACACATTTTTTTTTATTAAATGAGGTTATAATTTTTGATCGATATTATTGATCCAGGGTTTATAAATAAATGGTTGTATTCCACCAATAGGGATTATTGATAAATTCGTTCATTGTTCTAGTTATATTTGTATAAACCAGATGACTTAAATGTTTTGTTTTATTAAAAACCTATTAAAATCGTTGTAAATCAAACAGAGAATCAATTGTTCATACAAGGTATTTATTACTGTAAATGTAGTGATTACACAGACTGATACTAATTTCATATGTTAGTATGATTATCGATACAGAAGTGTCCGTGGATTCAATTAAATAATTATATCTATAGGGAGACATAACTGGCATTCTGAATTTTCGCCATGTTAATAAAACTATGCCAAATTTAGCGCGAAAAATCTCAAGGAAAAAGTATTTTTTTGAGTAAACTTAATGAAAATATCAGAGTAAAATGCTGTGAAACTTAAAATCTTATTATCTCCTAAATAGAAAGACAATGATTTTTATGTTTATTGAATAATTAACCTTGATCCATTCTCAAATTAGGATCTATTTTGATAAAATTACAAGCAGATATCAAAGTTTCTTAAAACTTTTTTCTGAATGATATGTTCTGGTGGAACATGTTATCTATGTAGAGTACATTTGTAAACTTTTGTGAATTATCGATCTATAGATTAACTATGTTATCGGTTTAATTGAATCAACATTAAACACATAGAACAGTGGATCAAGTTTAGTAAATCTATTTAAAAAAATGGGCCACAAACTAAGTAGGATGGGTAGTTTATTGACTGAAGCACACAATTTACGTTTCCTTAGATCCAACGATTAAATTTCAATTCACTTGTTTGAATTTAGGACTGATATTATATATAAGCTTCATAACTTACAGTCGAATATATGATAAATAAATCACAACAACTTTAAAAAAATGTTTATAAATTGTATTATTTTGCTTTTTTCGATCAGAATCGATTGATTGTAAAGTTAATACATACGTTAACAAATAAAATAAATATCTACAGTATAGAATTGTGGACACCCGCGTTACCATTTGACGGATGTACTGCCCCAGTCAAACTCCCCGCCTGACATGGTCTTCAGAATGGGTCGCACATCACATCAAACACCGTAATTTGCACCTCGACTCATCTGACATGACCAAGATACCGAAGTACGCAGCGATAGACCACGCAACCCAGCACGTGCTTTGAACCAAAATACAATTTCGTTCCCGTTTCACTGAATAAGTAAAGAAACAATGATAGCAGTGGTATTTCATTTGCGCCGAGCACCGAAGCACCCAGCTCCTACCTATACTACATCCATCATGTCTCCTCACAAAGTCGGACTAGATTCAAGCTCAACAGGGTCTTCTTTCCCCACTAATTCTGCCAAGCCCGTTCCCTTGGCTGTGGTTTTGCTAGATAGTAGATAGGGACAGTGGGAATCTCGTTAATCCATTCATGCGCGTCACAGTTAGTTACATACCGACGATAATGGAAGACGCTCATATCATGCAGTGATTGGAATTAGTTATTCACACCAGTGGATGCCATTTAGGGGGTCTGGAGTTTAAGTGTACATGTACAAGATGGAAAGTGTTGTATTCCTCCACTATAGCATATAGAGTTGTGGATATTGAGCGAACACCACCAACCAACCTTGTTTTCAGATTAATACCATCATATTTATAAATGAAACTTTTTTTAGGCATCAACTTCTTTTTCTAAAATGTGTATCATATTCACTGAACGGATTAATTTATCGTTAAAATATTTTCATTAGAACAATTTGTATGGGTTAATTATGAAATAATTTTCATTAACACAAAGTTTACAATGAGAAAAAATAAAAATCAACTTACTAATCACTTTTTAAATAATCAGTTAATTGATTAGAATGAATATTTAATCATAGGTCAATAAGTTAACTGAAAAAAAATAAATAAATGACCTTTTTTGTGTCAACATGAATAATTCTAATAACTAAATCATCAGAATATTTCCTCCAACTGGACAAGAGATTACATTGAACGAGAACCTATTTTTTTACGAAAAAAGACGAAATTTTAATCCCCTAAGGTTTATTTTTTTTTAAAAAAGGTTACACATCTCAACAGATCGGAAGTAGATCTTTCATTTTTATATTGTAACAGACTTTAGTTAAAGTTATTTATATATCAGGAAGTGAAGAATACATTATTATTATTATTATTATTATTATTATTATTATTATTATTACTATTCAAAATTATTCATTTATTACACAGTTAAAATCATCAATCAATCATTGTTAGACAACCATTATAAACCTGGAAGCACTGAACGGTCGTTTCGTCCTGGTATGGATGGGACTCATCAGCAGTGCACATCCACAACTCCTGCACCTCGCAGGATTCGAACCCGGGACCTTTGTTCTTGTGCGCGAATGCCTAACCATTGATCCACTGGGCCGGCATCCAACGGTGTTAATGTTTAACCGTTAGTAATTAGAACACAAGAAAGTCTTATATAAATTTTAATATTTAGTAGATAAATTTGTACCATTTCGAATGAATCGATTGGATTTAAGGAAAGGAAACTATGGATTCAGTTAATATTTTAAAATTAACAGTCTCAGACAACATCTTCATTATGTCCAGTTGTAATTGTAGTAGTAAGTGATCAAGATTACATGTTTCTGCTTTTATAGTGTAGGATAAATTCTATTAATTGAGGTGCAGTGTTTTTACTAGTCTAAATGATATCATATCGACTGTTTTATATAAATATATTTTGTGATTGGAGTTAACCAAAAGATATACTTACTTATTTCCTTGCTCATGTTGCCATTAATGAAGCACAGTCTGTTGGCCAAGATTCTCTGACTTACTCTGTCTTCGGTTGTCCTATCCAATTCTAACCCATTGCTATTCATTCTTTTCATGTCTGTTTCCAATTATGCCCTAATTGTGTTCCTTGGTTCACTTCTTTTCATTTGGTCCTTGAGGTTTTAAGTTGGGGCTCGCCTTGCGATAGAGTTGGGTGATTCCTGCAATCTTTATCCTATACACCTCCGAGTCTTTTCCTAATTTCTTCCTCAGCTGGAATCTGGCTCGTTGTCTCTCACACTAGATAGTTGCTGATGGTATCTGGTCAACAGATCTACACTATCTTGAATAGACAACAGAATTTGTTGTTGTAACCGACAGATAATGTGAACATTTTCATTCACCTAAAATACAGACTATTTCTTTTTGATTTACTAAATAGATTATAACTTTAATCAATGATAAAAAATCTTTTCGAATGCATTATATTTTCATATTCACGTCATCATAATTTTATCGCATTAAATCATATTCATAAATCAATTATCTATGGTATAGATTTTATTTTATTTTATTTTGAAACGAAATGATTTTGTTTGAGACAGAGTTAGGAAAACAATTCTAACATATTTGTGTACATAACATTAAAATCAAACGATGTATATATTATTCAGTCCTCGGTGTAAATCCTTAACGAGATTGTAGATGAATACTATGGCGAAATGTTATACTAGAACGAAAGGCTTGTTCAATGGTAGTGGTTTTTCAATTGTAATATCAACCATTATCTATAAAATATCAGTTTCTATGTGTGCTTTTCATGTGAATCCAGAATGACACTCAAACACACCATTGACTGAGTATTAACATATATATATATATATATTCACTTATCAATGAGAGTATTGAATCATTCAAAGTTAAGTGCATAACTGATTACGTTTTGAATAGTGTTAGATAAAAGTTACAATGTTGGGTAAGGGGGTTTTGGTGATTGTTGGATTTCGTTGAAACTATAAGTCGATCTAAATTAAACCACCAACAGAAACTTGAAATCGATGTAAGACTGTTTCATCCTAGTATGGGACTATTCATTAGTATACATCATCAACCTGATACATGGGATTTAAACTTAACACCTTAGATCTCACGAGTGAACGTTTGAATTCTAAGCCATTAAGCTGTCATTCTACGATGTTCATGTCTAACCTCAATCAATGCACTAGATTTGTGGTGCTGTGGTGCGAACTACTTATAAGTAGTATATAACGTGAG